GTGATCTAAGGCTATCCAGCTCTGCATGAGCCTCCCTTAGAAGAACACTTCTTACACAACTTTGCTGCTCAGATATGTTCCTTCACCTTACAGACAGCTGAAGGACTGGAGGTGGCCTGGTGTCCAGGTAGCCCATGGCTCAGGATCAGACAGAGCCATGTGTCATCATCCTGGCTGACTCTCTGAGCCCATATGAAGGGGTTGATAATGGCTCCCTTGCAGGGTCATTTTGGGGACTGCAGATATCAGGATACAAGGTCTGATATCATTCACACTGTACATTTGGCAGCTATTTTATTATTTGTTCACAGGAGCTGCACTGACTGATTTTAAGACCTTGGCTTGTAGGAGCAAGGGAGGTGAGAGGAAAGGGCAGGAAGTTTTGTGCTCTCTGAACTGAGTCCTTGACTATTATACTCCAGAATTAAGTAAAAGCTCTGAAACAGAGTTCATTATGATGGGCTCTCACCCCGTTCCAGCAATTACTGGATAATTTGGAATAGGAGATTAGTGACTGAAGCCTAATTCACCCCTCCCTGAAAATGCCTTCAATCCATCTCCTTACCTTCCAAGGGACCTGTGGAGGGATAATACAGAATGACAGGGGAAAGAGAAGTCTGGCTGGAGTGGAGACTGTGACCAGCAGAGCCCTGCGTCTGGACCAGTCAATGGGAGAGGGAAGGAGTTGCAGAGAGATCCTTAAGGCAGATGAGAGCACAGCGGAGACCAGAGGGCCTCCTTTGTAGTTGGGTCAGTGCCATGGGTGCAGCAGCTGAGCCTTAGGACTGCATTGTGTAGGGCCATAGTGCGAGCAAGCCCCTTGAGGCTCTGAGCGCTTGAAACATGGCTAGGGCAACAGAAACACTTTCGTGAAGTGGAAACCAAAAATCTGAAGTGAGATAAAAATATTTTCTGTTGAACACAACTTTACCTGACATTATTACATATTCTTTAGTGTTAAGACTGTTTAAAACTTTTTTTCACCTGGCTGTTTTAATGTGGCTACTGGAAAAGTTTAAATTATATACCAGGCTTGCATCATGTTTGCCTTGAACAGCACAGATTCAGCCTTGTCCCCTCCCAGCAGGTTGGGTTGCGTTGAGCAACCTGGTGGTCATTCTTTTATGTGTATCGCACTGACCACATGCACATGAGCTTAGCTCTTCTGGTTTGCACATCTAACAAAGTCACCTGATCAGAAGTTTCAGAAAATAAGTAAGCAGCTAAACAAGCACATAAAGAAAATGGTGCTCTGGGCATGTTATCTCTGTGTACTTCCTCCCAAGTCCACCAGGAAACCAGTCCTGGCCTGCACTGAGCAGGGAAAGGGAGGCGGTCCAGTCTGCATTTTTTTGAGTATCACTCAGGCTGCCCCTAGGGGAATGGACTGAAGAGAGAATTTGGAGGGCCCAGTGGGTAGACCTCTGTAGTGGTCCAGGAAACAGGTACTGTTGGTTGCTACAAGTTCATCCTGAGAAGACCTTTGCATTAAACAAAACAAGTGATGGGAGAGCAACTCCCACAAATGTTACTTTCCTCCCACCTTAAGGGTAACATTTCCTGTTACATGCTCTAAAAAGGCAGGGTGTCTTGGGTTACCTACCCAGCCACAGGCCCCTCCATGCTTTCTGGTCACCCTGGCACCCAGCTCTTCTTCTGGCCATGGCTGCCCCGGCAAAGGCCCAAGCAGAGATGGATGTGAGTGGACTGCTTCTGTCAGAACTGCTCAGTTTTTAATCCCTGCAACTCCACCGGTCCTGGCTTATCAAAGCCCCAGCCTCCTCTTTACCCAGCCTCTGGTTTCCAGGTGGGACCTGCCCACGAGGAGGTCCATTTCAGAGCTATTGGTTATGTACATATCCAGTCAGACAATCGTGGGACAACAGTGTGCACAGCTCTGTCCCCTCACTGGAAGATAAGAGGATATTCTCATAATATATGTCAAACTGCTTCTGTTGTGTAAATTGCTTGTGGGAATTCCTTTCAGCCACCTCAACACCATTCAATGATTCTCCAATATAACGTGCATAAGAAACATCTGGAATGCTTCATCAAATGCATATTCCTAGGAAATAAATGGAAACGTCAAATGGGGTAATTAATGAGTGCTTAATAAAGAAACTTTTTGCAAAGTGTGGGAAAGATTAAACAAAGGATGCTACAAGACTTGGTCCTGGATCTCTGGGACCAAGAGAAGGGAGCCAGGAGAGAGGAGGTGGAGGGCACCCCCGGAAGGAGCTTGGCCTTGAGCAGAGAGGGCAGAGCAGGAAGGAACCTGGGAACTGAACACCCAGCCCTCACTCACCCGCTGTCCTTTGGGTCTCCCATCGGTGTCCTCCACTGGCTGCAAAGCAAGGAAGCCATTGATGCAGCTCATGCCAGGAATGTGCTTGCTTCCCAGGCTCCAACCAAGGTGGAGAAGTTGCAGAGAGACTCTGAAGAGATAAACAGAAAATACCCAACTTGTACTGTGTAGACAACCTACACAGAACAAGAGTGATTGCCAACCTGATAACTCTATTGAATTACCTGGAAAATTCAGTTGCCACAGTTTAATGCCAATATTGGCAAGCTGGCAATGAACATGATATGAGAGATGAAGGAGCTGGGAAGCTCCATCATTTTGAGGATGATTTTATAAGAATAGGAATATTCTGAAGACACCAATATTTGGGAAGGATAGCCAGTAGCTATCTGGTTTAACTGGTTTAATCTGATTTGACCCGTTTTGACAAGTTTAACTGGTTTGAACTGCTCCACAAATTCATGTCAAATCCTTTACTTTTTCTAATTGATTACTTAAGTACACATAAACGTCACTGACTGTTGGTTCAATATATCTCTCTTGAGGCTTCCTTCTCACCCAGACTGACTTACCCAAGAATTTCAGGGGGTTGCTTAGTCACAAAGGAACCAGCCTTCTCCAGTGCATGAGGACACTGGAATGCAGGAGTCCCATGACTGCGATTTGCCATTGCCACAGACTGTGCCTGTTGGAGCTTAGACCCATACCACCCCCTGGATTCTCATGCACAGGGATAGTCTCTTACCAGCACAACAGGTCACAAGCTCAGACACCAAGGTAATAAATCCACACTCACATGCTCAGTCTCTTCCCCAGGGTGGAAACAGGCAAGCTGGTCTCAGGAGTGCCCAGGCAGGTCTCCTTCCAGCACTGGTCACTTTATAGACTACCAGAGAGGAAAAAACGTTCGCCCGATCTCTCACATTCAGTTCTTGGGATCTTTACATTAAACTTACCAGAGACAGATGAGTAAGAAAACAGACAGGTTTTTATTCATATAAATTTGTGGAGTTTACAGAAAAACATGACTCAGAATTTGGGACTTAAATCTTAATAGGAGATAAGCAGGGGCAAAGGGGCACTTCTGGGAGAACAGATGATTTCTTAGAATTGGGGTGCAGGGCAGAAAGGACACTTGTGGATAAACAAATAACTTTTTGAAAAGATAAATGGACCCTTAGGAAAACAGGTGGGAATGTGATGGTTTTGTGACAGTGTCTAGGTGTGACGCCAACTGCTCCTCTCTGACAAGAGAAGATTGGAGTTGCTCCCAGGAAGGGGAATGACGACAAATGAGTGTTAGGGGAAGACGGTACTTTAAGAAGGCAGATAAGGATTTCAGGCAATCAAGTGCCTTGAGCTCAAAATAATTTTTATGACAGAGCAGCATATTTTGGAGTAGCTAATTCCCTACAAGACTCAGAACCACCATCTGTTTCTTCTTCTCCACCCACCCATCCAAATCCCTATGGGTAGGGCTGATTTCTTTACAAACCTTTAAAAATCAAAACGTTTTGAAAACTGCTTCTCCTCTGACAATTGCGGCTACTCTCCCTACACCTAGCCTTTAGAGAAATCCGCCCTCAAAACTACCAAGATCGCTTCTAACCCAGCCAGATTGTAACAGAAAGGATAATTTCCCTTCACTAAGAAGATAACAAGCAGAAAGTCTAAGACCTAGCAAGTGCTTTAATAGTGAGACATCTCTCCACAGAGCTACTCAACACATATTTGACAGAGTGACAGGGGTGCAGAATGATAGGGGCCCTCATATTTGGGGCCTTCAGGGACAGAAGCCTCAAGAAGTGAAAGGCAGTGACAGGTTTCAGTTCAATACTAGGAAGAAATTTATGATTAAAGCTGTTCCAAAGAAACAGGGCCTAGCATGCTTGGAATTTTGCATATTATAAGGATCATAAACCAAGAGGGAAAGATGCATTATTGAACAAATGGGGAGAATGGCCAATTTGAGAGGGCAATAAAGATTAGCTTTAATCCAGAATTCACAATAAACAAAAATTCAGATGTGTCAAATATTTCTTAAAGAATATAAAAATATGGATTAGCATATAAATGGTATTTAAGTTTTACCAGAATTTAAAAATCCATATGAATAAAAACAACAAAATTTCAGATAGAATGATACAAATACATAAAATTTAAAATATCCATAAAAACCAATAATAACGAAAAGATGAGTTATAATTTAGGAAAGAAATTATGAAAATATTAAAAATATAAAAGTTATCATTTTAAGTCATAAAGAACTTCCTATAAATTAATTCTTAAAACACTAGCATGCCAAAAGGAAAATATGAGCAAAGTAAATATATAGTTAAATCATAAAAGAAATAATGTAAATGATTGTTATAAGAATATAAAAAAGACATTCTGCACCTCAGTCTCAAAGAAATAGAAACAAAACAACAGATGTCACTCTTCATTTACAAAGCTGACACATTTTTAAAATGTTAAAATAGGAGAAGTTTCATTGAGAGAGGCTCTTATTTTTTTAAAAAAAGAAAGAAGAGTTGGGGGAGTTCTTTTCGCAGTGGAAAGAGAGTAAAGAGAAACTGGCTTCGAGCCCTGACAACATGTGATGAGATTCTGGCTGCAGGGAGGGGTTAGGCCTAACAAATGCCAAGCCCTCTCTGCTACTGTGGCCTTTGAGCGCTTTCTCTCAGGGCTGGCTTCCCACACAGCTGACACAACAGTAGAGACTTTCCAGAAGAACAGGTTCTCCTGGACCTTATTTTCTACACTTCTGTTACTACACCAGGTGCTTACAGGTGGAAACTCAAGCAAAGACAATGTCCTCAAAGCACTAGCGTATGGGTGAGTACACCAACGATGGAATTAAAGCCAGTTGTCCCAGGTAATATGATGCAATATTTTTAAAAGTTTTAAGTCTGCCTACATTCTGTCTGGCCAACTCTTCTGTGAGTGATGAGTTAGCCAATGCAGCCCAGCACAACAACGTTCAGAAGGCTCAGTCAGGACAGCAGGGAGTGAGGCTTCCTGAATTCCTCCAGGGAAATAGCCTCTGTAAGTTTTTTCTGCAAACCAGAAACCAGTAAGCATTCATTGTAGAAAGAATTGATCCTTAATTATTGATCTTTTCTTAAAAATAAAATCTCTTCTCACTCCTTCTCCTCTCTCTCTCCTTCCCCACCCCCACCCCCACCCCCACCCCACCCCTGTCTTTCTTTCAGTATACACTGACATCTGTCACATACACAGGTAGGTATGTCAGGGTGAAAATGTTTAAAATGGGTGCAACCCTCCTGCTGATTCCCCTCTAGGCCATCACTGAGCTATGGTACTGGGCATGCTCACCCCCAATAATGCAGCCTTCCCCTCTCTACCTAAATGTCAATTTACTCTTTGACTGCATCTAAAAATATTACCATTTTAAATGTCTTAGAAATTAGCTGCCACCTTTGCTACTGTGTAAGTGCCAGTCCCTGAAGAATCTTGCCAAAAGGCAAGGCACACTTTTCTTTGTGCTCCATGACAATCCGAACCCTTAAGCTGCTGACCTCAGCTGGGCGTGTGAATGCTGACTGTCTCCTGTTGCAGTGGGAGGAGGTTTAGGAGAAAGTGGGACTCTAGGGCACCAGGTCCTTGACCAACACCCTTTTTCTCTTACACATGCTCAGTGGCCAGCTCACTACTACTCTAAAATGAGCTTACCAACAGGCCTCAAGAGCCCTACACAACAGAGCCAGTCTTCAGTGCTACCCAACTTCGCGGGGCAATCAAGACCTGGTAAGACCTTTAAGAAACCCTAAACACTGAAACAATTATGTCACAAACCTTCAATTGAAAATAGTAAACAATAAATGCATACTAAAAGATTTAATGAAGTTCTGATTTTTCCATGTAACTTCTTTGATTTTTTTTTGAAAAACAAAACAATGAAAAAGATTTTTCTAGTTTTAAGCCATCCTACTGAGCCATTCCTGTTATTAAGTCATCATACGTTCTTGGACTAAACTCCATTGGTTATGGTATATTTTTCTAACAGTGTGCTCTTAGATTTATTTAGGATCGAATGGCAATTTTTTTTCTGTGTAACCTTATGGAAATTGGTATTAATATACTTCCTTCATGAAAAGAATTTGTGAGCTTTTCTTCTTTTTCTATGTCTTGAAACAGTTTAAATGACACTGGAATGATTTATTCTGGAAAGATTTGGGAGAATTCCTCTTGAAAACATCTGAACCTGGTGCTTTTTGGAGGGCAGCTAGCTCTTTAATGACTTTTTCCATTTCTTAGTACCTGATTTATTAACACTTTCTACATTTTCCCAAGTCAATCCTGGTAAAGTATACTTTCCTAGAATGTTATTCATTTCATCTAAGTGTTCACATACAGTTACATAAAGCTCAGCAAAGCAATCTCTTGTGATTCAATTTCCTCTATAACTGTTTTATTTTTCCTTTAAAATTTTGTGCATGTGTAGATTTTTGCATTCTCCTATTTTTTCCCTGAATGAAAAGCTAGTGCATTATTTCTCTCATTGGTTCTGTCAAATAATCAGAACTTGGATATATATTTGACCCTTGAATAATGCAGGACTTAGGGTTGCCAATTCCCCACATGTAGCTGAAAATCCACATATAACTTTTGGTTCCCCTAAAATTTAACTATTAATAACTTACTGTTGTCTGGAAGCCTTACCAGTAACATAAACAATCGATGAACACATATTGTGTTATATGTATTATATACTATATTATAGTAAAGTAAGCTAGAGATGAGAAAATGTTTTTTCAAATTATCACAAGTTCTCCAAAACTTTTTCCAGTGTATTTATTGAAAAAAATCCACATATAAGTAGACCTGCAGTTTAAATTCATGTTGTTCAAAGATCAACTATATTTAATTCATTTTACAACTTTCTGCTTTAATTCACATTTTCTCTTCCTGTATTACTCATTCCTGCCTTGTACTTTTCTTAGGTTTATTTTGTTCTTTTTTTTTTTCCTAATTTACTGAGTTAGACACTTAATTCATTTATTTTAATTATTTTTTTGTTGATACACATATTTAAAGGGGGAACATTTCTCTGAACACTTACATGCTTAAATGATCCTATAAATGATATGTAATATTTCCATTTCTATTTTTTTTAATTTTATAAAATTGAAGATTAGAAAGAAAAAAAGGAAGAAATCTTGATCTTATGATGCCATCTTCAAACTCCCTTTTTAAATTATATTTTATAGTTCCATTGCAGTTACCACCACTAGACCTACTTTCTGTGAAAGTAAGAAGTCCCCGAAACTACCTGGAACAGATACTAACAAAGAAAAGGTCTCAAATTATCACAGTTTCCTTTTCAAGCATCTGATGATGGCAAATGGAACTGAGAGTAAAACCTAGGTGGGCAGTAGCATAAAAATGGGAGAGAGGAGGTAATAGAAGCTATGGAAGCAGGTAGTAGGCAGTTAACCTACTGTATGATGGGAGGAAGTGACATTTGAGTCTAGGCATGAAGGATGATGAACAGCGAGCTAGCAGAGGGATGCAGAGGCTCAGCAGGGACAGGGGCGGCAGGGTGAGCTTGAGGAAATGAAAGGCTTGCGGGTGGTGTAACCTTGAGAAATGAGGCAGGAGCTTGCTAAGGCCTCCCAAAAAGTTGTCTGTTAAGATGAGCAAAAGGAGTGTGTAGGGCTGGTGGCCATGGAATAAGGAAGGAAGGGAGGGAGGGAGTGAGGGAGGGAGGAAAGATAGGGAGAGAAAATGGAAACTCAGGGAGAAGGAAGGTGAATGCCCCTCTAGAGATGAAACCGTGCTTTATATTCAGGGAAGAGATTAAAAAGAAAACAATCAGCAATGAGATGTACAGAAAAGGGCATGTGGCAGCCACATGCAGAGAGCCTTGTGGAGGTGAGCGGTTACTTCCCCAGAATCCAGTCTTCTTGGATTCAGACTCTCTCCAGTCACCATGAAGTTTTAGGCAGCACAGCACAATGGTTCAGGAGTATGATTCTGGAGCCAGAAAAATCCTGGCTCTGCTAATCACTGCCTGGAATCTCAGCAAGTAGCTCACCCTGTGCGTCCCCAGTGTCTTCATCTGCAAAATGAGTAGTGAGTAATAGAACCATCTCAGCAGTCACGGTGAGGATGCAGATCATTAATACAAATGGAAAGCTTCAAACTTTCCAGGTAATCATCCTACCCTCATAAGATGCCACAGTGTGGCCCTCAGGGTAGAGGTGTGCAGAGACAGTGGGCATAGTGTCCAGCGATGCATCCAGGGTACCCAGAATAAGCTGTGTCCTGGTATGGATGCTAGTTTCACAGGTGTTTCAAGTGTGTGAAAATTTGCTGGAGATGTGTGCATTTTATCTGTGTCACACCTTCAGAGAAAGGTCTTCATTTTATTAGTGCCTGGAAATTAGCAAAATTCCTGAGAAAACTCCAGGTACTCAGTCTGTGGAAAAGCCAGGTCTCCAAGGAGTAAAGGGCTTCTTGGGTTATAAGAACAAAGCTTGTCTGAGTTACGGATAGAATAAACAGAAAATCACACTAAGGCATAGTTGTGATATGGAGATAGGACAGGGCTGGCAAATAGGAAAGCCAAGAGAAGTCTGAGGGGGTATCTACAGGCCAGGAAGGTGGTGGGACCTCACAGTCTGGGGGTTGGGAGTAGGGGAGGGCCCCTTCCTAACCTTCAGGAATGCTTTGTGACTATTTCATCACTCTGTGATGCAGGCTTGGAACACTCGAGAACACAGCATGTATTTCAGTGCTCATTGCCTGAGGCAGCAGTGTACTTCAGATGATGGACAATTATCTCCTTTTTCTGAGGAAACTTGCTGAGCATGGAGCTTCAAGTCCGTTTTTTATTTCCATTGTGTGATTGGGATATTCCCTCTATCATTCTTCTTCCTATAGGGTTGCCAATTTCTACCAGTCTTCAGAATAAAGAAGACTCAAGGGGTGCCAACACCCAGAACCAATGAGATTGACTTTTTATTTTTCCTCTTCCTCTTTCCATCTCTGCAAAGAACCACCAGAGATGGAAACACTTAAAAGAGAATATAACTATAATGTAGGAATGGTTTAGAATGGGGACTGGGGTTTCCATTTGAAGCTCACGGATCATTTTCATGGTGTGATTGAGGGCTCTGGGGCAAAATCCTACACATAGCGATTCAATGGCCATGAATTGTATTAAGTGTTTCCTTTGTGTTATGGACAATCTGAAGAGTAATGCTGAGTTGGTGAAAGCCTCTGAAGAGATGCCAAAGCCTCCTTCTGTTAAGGAGGAAATTCTTATGACCAGATAGCATCCATTAGGAGCATCAAGAAATTGTAGGTCTGAGACTTTGTGCCTGTTTTCAGATAAGGGCTAACAAGTGAACTATCAATTAAGGATCATCTTTAGAAAACTCGTCTTGGAGTTTTTCAAAGAAGCAAAAATAGGAAGTATTTGTATGCACTTTAAAAGTGAATATCTTGTTCTAGGTAAGAGACAGTAGATGCATTTATCCCTACTCTTCCTACTATTTCATCTTTACAGTTGAAGACCTTGAACATTATAAACAAACATAAGAAGGCTCTGAAAGATGTAGAGAAGGTGGTTAGCCAGAGACCTCAAGACTTGAGGAACAACACATCTGTAAGCTCCCTGGGTTTTCTTTTTGCCTCCTATTTCAGACTGGCTGCAACCCAGTCCACCTGCCCAAAAGTGGGCAACCCAGAAATGTCAGGGGATACAGACAAGAATAGGCCTATGAAAAGTCTTCTCTCTCTAGCCAAAGGATCATGAAATGTACAGCCTGGAAAGGTAGAAAATTCTTTGATAATAATTACCCTCATCCAGATAAAACATGCACCCCAGCAAAGGCTGAGTGCAGAACCTAGATTTCTACCCCCACCTAGTGCTCTCATCACTCTTACTCAACATGGTACTCTTGTTCAACTTAGTAGTTAAAGTTCTAGTCATAGCACTAAGGCAAGAAAAGGTGATAAAAAGCATATAAATTGGAAAATAGCACTCTATTTGCACAGAACATGATAGCTTATTTAGAAAATTCCATAAATTTACAAAAAGAAAACCTTCTAGAACCAGCTCATGAGCTGAGTAAGGTTGTAGGATAGATAAACATACAAAAGTGTACTGTGTATTTCTATACACTAGCAATGAATACATGGAAAGTAAGATTATAAACCTGCCCCTTATGATTACTTTATAAAGGAAATATGTAGGTATAAAGCCAAAAGAACTTGAAAATGGACTTTTATGCTGAAAACTAGAAATTGTAATGAAAGAAATCGAAGATCTCAGTATTTGGAGAGATATACTGTATTCATGGATTGGAAGTTTCAACATAAGAAAAACGTCACTTCTCCCCAAATTAATATATAGGTCAAAACAATCCCTATTAAAATACCAGCAAGATTTGTAGAAACAGACAAGCTTATTCTAAAATTTAGATGGAAAGGCGAAGGACCAAGAATAGCAAAAACTATTTTTAAAAAGTGAGAAGACCAAGCCCAGATTAAAGATAGTGCAGAGAGAGATGAGACAGAGAACTCCACTCAAAACCACATATAATACAAAAATATAGTTAATACAACTAATCCTAAAAGAGCAACAGGAAAGAAGGCTGTGCCAGACTGCATACACCTGGAGAACAGAGCAGACCTCAAGAAACAAGGTAACGTACCAAAGCCTAGATCTGGCAGGACCTAAACCCTTACCCCACCCCAGTTCATGGGTGGGAGGAAGAGAAACAGAGCTGGGAGGGGGTAGAAGCCTAGGATTGGTGAAGACCCAGCTGCAGAGACCTGCTTTTGGACCACAAAGCTACATTGCTAGGTGCTCTGGAGATTACTGGAGTTGGAAAACTAAGACAGGCAGAAAACTTGGAGACACTGAGATTCCAGCCATTTGTGGAGGACAGAAATCCCACATCCAGCTGCTCTGGGACAAAATAAAGGTGGATGGACTAAAAGGCTTCCTAGCAGTAAGAGGGCTGCTGAAGGGGCAGGATTTGCATGTAGCTTGCTGCTCAGGAGAAGAGATAGGTGGACAAAGTTGTCTGGGTGCATTCTGCCCAGCAGGCTGGGAACTTTCAGGAGCTTCAGGCACTCCATCCCCCTGGCTCCTACTCTGTTCCGAGACCCCCACTATTATATGCAACCTGCTGCACCTTCCTCCTGGCCTGTGAGCAGAGGCTCTCAAACTGGCAGTACCTCCCCTGGTTTCAGGCCAGCTGGAAAGAGGCCCTGCCTATGGAAGCTACAAACACAAAGCACAGAGGCTTATACCTGTGTGCTCAGCCCACTGGTTCTGACACTGGAGACAGGCACCGCAGATGGGAATCAGGAAACAACTCATTCCTCCCCCTAGACACCAGCGCCACTCCCCTGTGATCCCCGACATCACTCCAGGGGCTGAGCAGCTACAGAGACAGGAGCTTCTGGGCACTAGAGGGCACCACATACAAATATGAAATGTCAAAGGAAACTGGTTCAACCAAAAATCTCACAAACACCAGAAAAAGGGCCAAATGAAATAGAACTCACCAATATTCCTGAAAGAGACTTCAAAATAAAAATTATAAACATGCTTATGGAAGTACAGAAATATATTCAAGAACTCAGGAATGAATTTAGGACAAAGATTCAATCATTAAGAAATTCATACCTGAAATGAAACATGCAATGGAGGGATTTAAAAGCAGATTAGATTTAGCAGAAAAAACAGTAAATGGAATAGAAATTAGAAAAGAGGAATACAAAGAAGCCAAGGCACAGAGAGAAAAAAGAATCTCTAAGAATGAAAGAATATTGAGAGAACTGTGTGACCAATCCAGACGGAACAATATTTGCATTATAAGGGTACCAGAAAAAGAAGAGAGAGGAAAAAGGATAGAAAGTGTCTTTGAGGAGGTAATTGCTGAAAAACTCCCCAATCTGGAGAAGTAGATAGTCTCTCAAGCCATGGAGGTGGAGAGATCTGTCAACACAAGGGACCCAAGGAAGTCAACACCAAGACATATAATAATTAAAAAGGCAAATATCAAGGATAAGGACAGACTTTTAAAAGCAGCTATAGAGAGAAAAAATATCACATACAAAGGAAAACCCATCAGGCTAACATCAGACTTCTCAACAGAAACCTTACAGGCCAGAAGAGAGTGGCATGATATATTTAATGCAATGAAGCAGAAGGGCCTCGAACCAAGAATATTCTATCTGGCATGATTATCATTTAAATTTGGATAAGGGATTAAACAATTTCCAGATGACCAAAAGCTGAGAGAATTTACCTCCCACAAACCACCTCTACAGTGAATTTTGGAGGTACTCCTACAGATAGAAGTATTCCTAAGGCTAAAAAGCTGTCACCAGGGGAAATAAAAACACAGCAAAGAAATTAGAAAAATTAATTACTAAGCAGATGCAAAATCAAATCAACTACCCCAAAGTCAATCAAGGAATAGACAAAGAGTACAAAATATGATACTTAATTTATAAAGAATGGAGGAGGAAGAAAGAGGAGGAAAAGAAAAATAACCTTTAGGTTGTCTTTATAATAGCATATTAAGTGAGTTAAATTAGACTGTTAGATAGTAAGGGATTTACCCTGGAATCTTTGGTAACCACAAATCTAAAGCCTGCAATGTCGATAAGAACATACCTGTCAATAATCACCCTAAATATAAATGGTCCGAATGGACCAATCAAAAGACATAAAGTCCCTGAATAGATTAAAAAACAAGACCCCTGGATTCAAGATGGTGGTGTGAGAGGTGAGATGGAAGACTCCTCCCAAAACCATGAATAGTATGAAAATCCAGTTAATCAATACAACTAACTCTAAAAGAGCAACAGGAAAGAAGGCAGAACCAGACTGCATACAGACATCATGAACAGAACAGACCTCAGGAAACAGGGTAATGTACAACAGCCTTAATCCGGCAGGACCCAAGCCCTTGCCCCACTGCAGCTCACCTGCAGGAGGAAGAGAAATGGAGCAGGGAGGGAGTGGAAGCCTGGGACTGCTGAACGCCTGGGACTGCTGAACACCTGACCCTGGAGATCTGCTTTGTGAGCAGAAACCTACATTGTGTGGTGCTCTGGAGGTTGGGGAGCTCGGACAGGTGGAGTGCTTGAGAGACTAAGATTCTGGCCTTTTGTGGAGGAAGGGATCCATATCCAACTGCTCTGTATCAGAGGAAAGGCAGGTGGTCTGAGAGGCTTCCTAGCAGTGAGGGGGCTGCTGAAGGGGCAGGGTTTGCTCGGGGCTAGCTGCATGGGAGAAGGGACTGGCACAAGAACAAACCCATAGACCAATGGAACAGACTAGAAAGCCCATATACAAACCGAAGCATATATAGGCAATTATTATATGATAAAGGAGCCATGGATATACAATGGGGAAATTACAGCCTCTTCAACAACGGGTGTTGGCAAAATTGGACAGCTACATGTAAGAGAATGAAACTGGATTATTGTCTAATCCCATACACAGTAGTAAACTCAAAATGGATCAAAGACCTGAAAGAAAGTCATGAAACCATAAAACTCTTTGAAGACAACATAGGCAAAAATCTCCTGAATATAACACGAGCAACTTTCTCCTAAACGTGTCTCCTTGGGCAAGGGAACCAAAAGCAAAAATGAACAAGTATGATTATCTCAAGCTAAAAAGCTTCTTTTCAGCAAAGGACACAATAAACAGAACAAAAAGGCAACCTACAGTATGGCAGAATGTATTTGTAAATGACATATCCTATAAGGGGTTAACATCCAAAATATATAAAGAGCTCACATGTCTCAACAACCAAAAAGCAAATAAGCCCATTAAAAAATGGGCAGAGGCTATGAACAGACAGTTCTCCAAAAAAAAAATCAGATGGCCAACAGGCACATGAAAAAATGCTCCACAT